GGGTGTGGGGAACAGCAGGAGTCACACCAGCCAAATGAACCCCTCGCAGCTCCATCTTGTTCCCTGCCCTGGCTGCCCCAGCCCTACCCCTCCCTTACCGCTACATGCACATCCCTCTGTACCCCTGCAGGGAGTGCCTTGCAGCCCTATCTATCTGCTGCCCCACATCTGTGGGGAGATAAGCCCCATTAGCCCCGGCCTTCTGCCACCTGTGTGTGGCACGCAACTCTCAGTGTTGTTCAAAACATCACATGCACAGTTTAACAGAACCTAGAAAATGAAAGTCAATTAAACCAGCTTTCCTTAATCAAAAGAAATCTGAAACACCGAAAAATTCCCAAACAATTCCATTATTAAAGAACTTGGCAGCAGACTGAAAATTAAGGTTGGACTTATTTTTTTTTAATATTATTACTCTTTCAGAGCACAGGGAAGACTATGGCCAAGCCTATTACTCAAAAAAACAGAAAAACCCAGGAGACTGGCTTCTTTGAGCCACAAGTTTTTTCAAATCAAGTTATGTCACTTCTACATACATCACAAATGTTTAGAACAAGGTTTAAAATTTACAGTGCTCTTGACACTTCACCCTTGGGTCACTTGTTATTTAAAACTGGTTTTATACTTGATAAGAGCGAGTAAGCTTACTTGAGTAGGGAACCTTGGTAACAAGGAAGAGAAATAACCAGGAGTTTAGCAGCACCAGTACTTAAAGTCTGAATCTAAGTGCTAAATTAATAATTATTTGCTGATTTTTTTTTTCTGATCTTGCACTGAGGCCAAGATACTTTCTTTAGCACCACAGCATTATGTTTACACGTTAGTACCATGCTATGGCAACAAAGAGGTCAGTTCTGGGCAACTCTTTATTTTAACTCTGCTGTAACGTAAACACTTTTTTTTTTCCTCTGACTAAAGTCTATGGGCTAGTGCCTTCTCACCAGCCCCGCCCCATTTATATCAACCAGTCACCACTACCTTTCTGTTGCAAGTTTCATAGTTACTTACTGGAAATATTGTGAATCCAAGATAATATTCTATGAGAATACAGCCTATACTCCAAACATCACAGGGTTGTGACCATCCCAGTGCTATTAAAAACAAAAATTATAAGGTTCAATCACTTTTGCAGAAAATAAACCAACCATCCTTTATTATATGCACCTGGCTTACACAAACAATACTATACAGAATCAATAAAATAAGTTTAGCTATACATCTACCACCTACAAAACTAACATGGAAACTGAAAGCACCACAAACACAACATTGGAAATAAGGGATGTATTATCTTTAAAAAAAAAAAAGTAATATGTAATAGCAGCTCCAAGAAAGTTAAAAACTTATTTTGAAATTTGAAGCAGACCAAAAAAACCCCCAACGCATATCAGAAATTTAGATCAACAGCTTAAGACATTCTATGCTTTAGAATTAATAACTACAAACAACTTCAGAAGTACAATACTCCAACTATTTACAAGTGTTTTCTACTAACCTAAAATAACTTCAGGGGCTCTGTAATGCCTTGTTGACACTAGAGTGCTGTGATGTTCATCATCGTATGTGGCACTTCCGAAGTCCACAACTTTAATGTCTGGACTTTTCAGTGTGCGTTCATCCCGTTTCTGAAATGGGACATACGTTAGAAAATGCACAAATACAAGTTACAGAGATAAGCTGTGAAAACAGTTTGTTTCTAGAGACTTACTAGTTTGGGGTTATACTCTTCTACATAGTCCGACTTCACAAATAAAATATTTTCAGGTTTCAAATCCGTATGAGTGAGTTTGTTTAAATGCAAAACTGCAGAAGGAAAAAGTAAGTTAGCAAGATACTGAAAAACAGCTTTAAAACAAGTAATAAGAAAAAAAGGAGTCATTAACACACTTACAGTTCACAGATTTGCAGATCTGATATGCCATTTTCCTAATATGGTCAAGCCGAAATGGCAAAAAACCATTCTCTTTGATGAAATCATAGGTACTGAGTCCCAAAAGCTCAAAAACAATGCAAACATGACCATGGTGGTCAAACCATTCCAACATCTGGACACAGCGACTGTAAAAATAGCAAAATTTGCATATTAGCCCTATGCCTGTTACAGTAATGTTATGACTACTGAGGTGCAACATTAAAAAAAAAAAGGTGACTGGTATGCAAATGCTATGACCTAGTCTAATAGGGTACCAGGAAAAACACAGCATCACAATGGTCTCAAGATACACAACCTCCTAACTAGCGTTAGGTTAGGGAGAAAATGGAAGTTTACTTCAGCTTGGAGCCTGAGGCACTACTATTTCTGTCAGCCTAGCAGGCTACAAGTAAAACACTAAATACAAAATAAAAACCTTCTGAGGAACAGGTTGAAAAGCAGCTCTCTGAACTGTGACAAAAAGAAAAGCTGGCGCAGGCCAGTTCTACTTGAACAGTCTATAACTGTGGCTCCCAACTACTGCCAGCCCTCAACAATTTCTTGTGTTTTTATAATTAAACACTATAAAAAAGGTGAGAGAGCCAAATTAAAACCAGTCTACAGGTCACTTATCTGTAGCCTTGTAAACCAGTTTGGGAAAATATTAGTCTACAGAAAACTGGTCTTCCAAAATTTCTGTAGAAGATGGTTAATAACCTAACTAACAGATGCAAAAGAAGTATATCAGAGAAAACGCACTTAAAAATATAAAAGATCTTTTAGTCAGATCAATGATCACTACTGTCACTGTTCTCAGTGGAAATCAAACTACAGAATTTAAGATTAAGTCATAGATGGTATCAGGAAATGGTCATACAGGATGTGGTCAGAATGGAAGAACTTCACTCTAAGCCAGGCCATAGGCTGAACAGGTATACTTGATACTAGGAGTCAAGCACAGCTGACTCGGGAGCTTTAAAATATACACATTTTGGTAAACCATTCAAATCAAACATACAAAATTAAGAATGATTACTTTGCAAAGGACTGCAGGTGTAGATAACCAAGCAGCATACAGTTAAGTAACAGTAAAGCAATATGGAGATCGGCCAGGGAGACTAAGGAAGGAACTAACACAGCTATAGGATTACTGAGGAAATGCAATACTCTATAGTGGCATTTTAAAAAATTGTTTTAGGATTACAATTATATTGGTTAAAGAGTTTTAAGACTTTAAAACATTTTCCAAACTGTTTATGTACTTACTATGTACTGCTGGGATCTGACACATTTAAATGCTCCAAAACTTGAATTTCTGAGCGAGCTGCTTCAGAGTATCTATCAACATTTTTTACTATTTTCACTGCAACATGTCTACCACCCCTGGAAAACAGAAGGTTTTTTTTAGTGGCTACTACATAACTTTGTAATTACAACCATAGCAAAACCTTCATGACATGCACTGCAATCGTCCTTCACAGGAAAATTCAACCACAACGCTCCTAGGTAACTAGCAAATGATCTTAGCTGCCTCTTCCTATATATTAAGAACTTTTGTCTTAAAACTACTTTTAAAAGAATCTACAAAGATTATTTCAATCTCTTCCCCCCCTCTGAAGTGTCCATTGTGTTACATTATAGATGGGTAATTTTCAGATTCAGAACACTTTATTTTTATCCTTCCATTTTATTTTTACTTCTGTTGCACACTAGTGTTGGAAGAAGCCCAATACAGCAAAACCAGTCATGCAAACAATTATTTCAATACAAATGCATTCTTCATACCTAGAGTTTGTTACCTACAGTTAATGCAATCATTATGTTTAACAGACATAGCCACGTGCAGTAACTGTGAAATTATACTGCCTGAGAAACCCAGAATCATGCTGCTTATAACTGTAGAGATCAAAACATTTTCTGGGCAACACTTGGAGAATGAATACTAGGTTCCTCCATATCAGTTTCATCTTTAGATAGAAATAATTAGTCATTTCTTTAAGCCTTTTATGCCAATTAAAACAAAGTCAACGCATTAAAAAGTTTGAATGTGTATTTAGTATAACATGGCATTTCAGAATCCAAGCTGCATTAGCACTGAGAAGTTGCAAGCACGAAAAGAACATGAGACTTACGCCTTGCGATCGATGCACTCAACTACTTTTCCAAAAGCACCTTCCCCCAAAGTAGCAACAATTTCATCTAAAAAGAGAAAAAAAGGTTTCAGACATGCATATAGTAGTCACTTAGTTATTTAAAAAACTAAATACTATCAATGCAGATTATTCTAGGCTGTGCCGCTACAAAAAAAAAATGCAACCTCTCTAAATTGGAATATTTTATTGGAGAACTCTCATCAAGACAAGTTATAGCTCTCATTCTATATTTCATTAACTTCATTTACTATTTTGGAAAATGAATAAGCATTTAAGTTCTACAAAAGAAGAAAAACAAACAATCCCCCACCCAAAAAACCCAAAACAGAAAACAAACAGAAATCAAGACAGAAAGAAAAGACTTCCAAGCCCCCTCACATCTTATTCTAAAAGAAATAATTCTAATCTGAAAAGTTAATAAGTTTTGAAAAATATTCTATACATCTTGCACTTAGTACGTCTCCACTCTGACAGATCAGGTGACCCTCCTCATCATCCTCTACACTCCTGGATCTTTTCCTTCGATGACTCTTCTGGAAACGGCAAGTGGGCGGCACCAAGATCGTCCAGCCAATCAATATACCCGAGTGAATTCAGGGCAGAATACGAAATTCATTCAGCAGGGAGATATTCAGGCATTCAGATACACGCCAGGCCACAAACGGTTGGCAGGAGCAATTTCAAATTCAGTCCCCAGAAATTCACAGGGCACATAGTTTATGTTACAGGAGAAAAACATGGCAAGGAACAGATTTTCAGATAAGATACTCAAAGTGGCAAGGCAACAAAAAATTACAACATAACTGTTTTTTGTTTTTTAAAAAAGTGGTTCACTTGAAGCACTGAAATTTTAGGATTTCAGTGTCCTAATTTGCAAACCAGCATGATTAAATATTTACTTGTCTATATAAAACAGCCTTGTGGCCAATCTAGAATATAAAAGTCAAGTAAAATCTGAATTATACATTGCTCGAGTAATATTTCAGAATTTAAAAAAAAACTATCAAAAATGACATACAAAAAACAATATAAACCTACTCCAGGTTGCTTTAGCTGAATGTCTTACAATATAAATCACATCTTCAACTGCTCTAACAATTAAAGGGAGTGGGGCATTACTTTAAGATCAGAGAGCATGCCCTGCTAACAGACAGACAACATGCATATCTGATACTAGAAAAAAAAAGAAAAAAAGAAGAGAAGGAAGTCTCAGACAGGGAGAAGAAAGAAAGAGCGTCTGAAGGAGAAAGTGAAGGAGAAAGAAGATCTCTGGGAGATAAGACACTTACCACAGAATTTTT